TCCAGAAGTTCCCTAACTAGTTCCTCACTAACCCTTGGCCTAGGTGTGCCTCCCCTGGGGTCTAAGGGGGGCCCAGAGGAGGGGTGACTTTTCTGGTCCCTGCTCAGGAAAATGGAAGCAAATAAATCATTAAATATGTTGGCTTTGTCATCTGGTATGACGGCCAAATTTCCTAGCTTGTCCTGCTGGGGCCTTACATTACCCAGAAACTTCTTTTTACCCCCTATGTATTTAAAAAAGGACTTCTTGTTGTCCTTGATCTGGGAAGCTAGTCCCAGTTCCATCTCCGCCTTGGCCTTCCTGACTGCCCCCCTGCATCCCCGAGCAACCGCAGTATAATCCTCCCTGGTGATGGCCCTTCCCTTCCATTGGCTGTGCACCTCCCTTTTAGCTAGGAGACATTCCCAGATGCATTTGGTGAGCCATGGGGGTTTATGTGCCCTCCTGCTCCCGTTGATCTGTGTTGGAATTACTTCCCTTTGGGCTTGGAGGATCGTCTCCTTAAGGAGCAACCACTCTTCTTGGACACCTGGCTCTCCTCCCCTCCAGGACCTCAGTGCTTCCCCGACTATTCTCCTTAGCTCATTGAAGTCTGCCCTCCTGAAATCTAGGGCTGCTGCCTTGCTGTAGGCCTTTGCCATCTTGTGCTGGATGGTGAATTCCAGCAGGCGATGATCACTGTCACCCAGGTGATCGAGCACCCTCAGCCCCCTCACCAGGTCATCACCCGTGGCCAGCACCAGGTCCAACAAGGCATCTTTATGCACATAAAGCACAAAGCATTTACCATTTCTGTACAAACTTACTCATTTACCTATGTAGCTTGATCCATGAGACAAACAAAAAGATACCCATTGCATTAGATGGGTTTTTGAATAATCTTACCTTTTTTTCCTGTTTGTGTAGGGTTGGGCATGCTGTATGAATATACTGGCTAGCACCATCCCTACTGTATGATGCAGTCTTTAGATAGTGGCACACATTGGTCTTAATGATGGCCTGTGCATTCCTAACTATTTCCTATGGTTTTTACTGGCTTTTCCCCTCCTTGTAAAACATGCTACCTACTATGAAATAGTGTTTTATATGATGAAACTTCAGCTGACAAACTCAATAAGAACAATCTGTTCCAGTGACTATTAATTATGGAGAGCATAATTGTGCCAGTGACCTTGTACTAAATAACTAAAGCACTGCTGTAACAGCTCACTGTATATATTTATGACAGTCTACTTCCCAATTTATTGGATCATGAATATGTCTGCCAATTTTTGTCTTATTTCAAGGATAATTCATCATGTGCTTGAATAACATTTTCTCTAATAATACTCTATTTAAGCATCATGGATCTACCTCCTGACATTGTTAGGAAACATACTAGATGTGTTAGCCGACCAACCAGATGTCATGTCCAGTGGGCCAGCAGCACGGGCTCAGTAAAATGTGCTTTGCTTCATCCACAAGTGAAATTACATTGGGACTTGAGAGTTTTTTTCATTGAGAGTTTTTTTCTGCTGTAGAATTGTTTAAAACATATTGAGAAGTCTTTTTACTGTTGTATTTGTTTCTTAATATATTGCAATATTTGTAGTCATTCTTCCTTGATGACTTGTTCAGGGATAGTCAGATAACTTTGCTTAGCAGCTATTATATATCCTCAGTTGAATTTCTGACATAATTAATTATTAGCTAATGGCATCTACAATAAAATAACCAGTCATGTAAAAACCATATGGAAAAATAAATGTTTCCCTGGTGCCGGATCATTACTGAAAAGAAGTCTGAAAGACTATGTGTTTAGACAGTCAGAATGCAACTTGGAACTGGTGCTACTCTCTTTAATGGAATGTTAAAAAGTGACAGAAGGTTCAGAATAGAGGTATTGCTCATGGTTCATCTGCTGTGTGTGAGTCTGCTTCTCAGTAAGGCGAAAATACCTTTATAAATGTTATGAATATATATTCCTTATGAATTGCAGGTAGCAAGTTCATGTCTTTATTCTATTAGCAACACATATTTCTCCTCATTGAGAACCTGTGTACTATATTTACTCTATTCTAAGATGCAGGTTTTTTTCCCTATTCATCATGGGGCAAACAGTCTCATCTCTAGAATTGAGAATCACAAGAACAGCTGTGCAGGGAGCCCCGCTGGGGCAAAGACAGCATCAGCATCTTGCAGCAGCAGCAATGTTTCCTGACCAGATCCCCTCTCTCCTTCCTTTTCCTCCTCCCTTCCCTTCCCTTCGTGGCAGGGAGTCAGATAGGGAAGGACAAGTCTGCATGCTGCTGTTGCTTAGTCTCCAGCCTGCCCATGAAGCAGCTGTGCTGGAAGCTCAAAGTGGGGAAAGGATAAGGACAGGAAAGGAGAAGGCTGAGGGGTGCCAAGCCAGGCTCCCTGCACAGCTGCTTCCTGCAGCATAGGGCAGGAATGGTTCTGGGCTCCACCTATGCCTGGATCAGTGGGGAAAGCAGCAGGAGGATGTAAATGGTAAAGGGTGGTAGTCATCAGGGAGAGTAGAGGATGAGGGACACGATGCCTGCTCCCCTACCCCTGCTTCCCCCCTCCTACTCCTTGCCTCTGCTTCCCTCCCTGCTTTCTCCACTGTTTACTTCCACCTCTGCTTCCCCCCACCTGCCTCCTCACTTCTGCTTTTCCCATTGCCTTCCTCTTGCTGCTGTTTTCTGCCATAGCAGTGGGGGGACAAATTTAAGATACCCCCCCAATAATTCAATTCTAGACATGGGAAATTGTAACAAATATATAATTGACCATGTCAAGAATCTAATTGTTGCATGGTCATCTTAAATTCAAAATCATCTTAGAATCAAGTAAATACAGTATTATTTGTCACTTTTAATGGCAAAGGAAGACATTGATAAATGACTCTTTATTATAATGTGTGCTTCTATAGTGCCTATCCCTCTGCTATCTGGATATCATTGTATCAACTTACAGCACATCAGCTCCCTAACAGAAGATGAATAAAGCATCTACTCCCCACACAGATTAAAATCATTTGCTTTCACAGAAGTAAAAGATAGGCAGTACCTTTTCCACAGCACAGCTCTATGAGATGTAGTTAATAATTTTACAGCAGGTCCAGGAATCAATCAATTATAATAGTCAGTTACTAAACTAACCCTTAGGAAAAGTTGTTCAGGGTTCTTTTGAAAGAATGTATAGAGACAAGCAAAGAACACAACTTTGAGAACAAAAAAAAGAATTTACCATTGGTCCAGGCTTTCCAGGCATGCCATGTGTACCACGTCCACCCTGCACAGGAAAACAAATAAGACCCAGTGCGTTTACAAGAATTCTCATTAAATCGTGTGTTTGAATGTTAGTGCTTGTGATAGCATGTCTTTATAAATGATACCAGTCTGCTCATTGAGGAGGACATGGAAGAATTTTGAGAGGGGATCCTGGCCCCAGTAAAGTAAATGAGCATTTTACCAATGGTTTCAATGCCTCCAGGGTTTTATCCTTGTTATAGGACAACACAGTACATAATGCAGTCACAAACACTGAAATATATAAAATACCAGGAAATCAAAGGGTTTGTATCATTTTTGAAGATTGTCCTATATCATGAAAGACTTAGGAAAGTTAATTTTTCTGCTGGAAAATAGGATCGTTTTAGAAAGATCATTTCTACAGTTTTGAATTAAAATATGATATTTTGCTTTTATTTTTTCAGAGGAAAAGTAATTCCTGTAAGATATAAACATCACTTCAAATTTTGCAAGTGAAACCTTTTTTTTACAAGAAATTTCACAGACTAAATTTTCTTAGTCAAAATAGATTAAACATACAATTTAAAAAACTTTTTTGTTTTATTTTTTATTTTTTACTGTTGCACAGTTCTTAACCATCACAATGAATCTAATATTTTCTTGCATATTTTTATTAAAAAGGATGGTGATTAATGTCTGTAATTTGCACATTTTTTTGATATTTAAAACTGATATTGGTTTTTTTTAATTTAAATTAAGAGCCTGATCCTGCAAATATTTTCTCAGGTCTTGCAATAGATTGTCTTTGACTGAAGCTAATAATTCATGCAGGAGCTATAACTACTTGTGTTGTGTGCATTAGCAAATATTTTTCAACCTTGATAAACTGTGGGGAAAAGGTTACTGTAGTTCAGTTTTAAAAGGACCTGATAAAAAGTAAGGATGCATAACGGTATGGCTAATAGCTGACAGCAAAACTTTAAACATCCACTTACCGGAGCCCCTTGTGGTCCAATTCGCCCTCTTTCTCCTGCCATTCCTCTAGGACCCTACAAAAAGGCAATACAAAAATGCTTTAATTCAGTAGCTTATCATGTAAGGATAATAAGGAGTGGTAAGGGTGGGCAAAATATGGAATTCCCTTTTCCCCCAGCCCCACCCCTTTACCATGATAACCATAATATCGAGATTTTTTTTTCCATTTTTCCTTCAAACATCCTTAATATTTCTCTGTGTCTGAATAAAATCTTTACATTGTACTTCTGCATTACAGAGCTTCATGAGCCTCAGTCATAAAAGGGATCTTACTGTATTCTTGGGCAGTAGTAATCAGCAGCACACTTATAAGATGGGAAACTCCCTTCTTGAGAGCATGGAGGCAGAAAGGGATCTTGGGGTTATTATTGACTCCAAGATGAACATGGGCTGACAATGCGAGGTCACGGTTGGCAGGGCTAACCGGACTTTGTCGTGCATCCACAGGTGGATGGCCCTCAAGTAGGGCCAAGGAGGTGATCCTCTCCATCTATGTGACACTGGTCAGGCCACAGATGGAGTACTGTGTCCAGTTCTGTGCACCCCACTTCAGGAGGGATGTGGACTACATTGAGAGTGTCCAGAGGAGGGCCACCCACATGATCCGGGAACAACAGGGCAGACCCTACAGTGAGAGACTGCAGGACCTGAACTTGTTCAGCCCTCATAAGAGAAGGCTGAGGGGGGACCTGGTGACTGTCTATAAACTCACTAGGGGGGACCAGAAGGGTTTGGGAGAGACCTTGTTTCCCCTAGCACCCCCTGGCATAACAAGGAATAACGGCCACAAGTTGTTGGAGAGTAGGTTTAGATTAGACATCCATAAGAACTACTTCACAGTTAGGGCGGCTAGGATCTGGAACCAACTTCCAAGGGAAGTGGTGCTGGCTCCTACCCTGGGGGTCTTTAAGAAGAGGCTTGATGCCTACCTGGCTGGAGTCATTTGAGCCCAGTTTTTCTCCTGCTCAGGTGGGGGGTCGGACTTGAAGATCTACAAGGTCCCTTCTGACCCTACATCTATGATTCTATGATTGCTACTACTGAAGGGATTTGGGATTTAATGGGAGTAGGCTCAGGTACAGTGAGACTACAAGCATGAATAAGGACTATTAAGATGAGTTATGGTCTAAGGACCAGGCTAGTGTTTTTGCTGCAGGTGAATATTACCTTGGCCTAGAATGTCCATAAAGAAGAAGGTAATCTATGTTCTTAGTCAGCTTTATACATTTTGCTGAAGGGAAGTAAGTACTCTGTATTCTCTTCTCCATTTTCAGTTGTACAAGTATCATCCTATTCGCAAAGGGTCAGTAATTCAATCTTATTTGCTGTGGTTCATTATTAAAATTAAATTCCACTTCAGGAATGACATTCATTCTAGATAACATAAGCTGTCCTTATCTCTTCCCCACAGGCATGTCACTGCTCCAAGTGAGATTTTTCCTGTGCTGCTGTACAAGTCAGTAACACTTACATTTTTACAGGTACCCTAAATACCACCTGAGTGAAAATGTTCCATAATAACTGGATAAAAAGTATTCCTCTGCTTCCCTGCCATGACCCACATACTTAGCCTAGTCACAGACTCAAGAATCTTCAATCATTAGTATTTTTAGCTAATATTTTTCTAACTGACCTAATGACTTAATGTAGTTTTTCATTGGAAAATATTCTAAAAATCACCCTAAAATCACAAGAGAAAGTGATAATATTGAAACTTAATTCTGATTTGTGTTAAACTTCCTGATTTATAAGTTACTGATGGGGCACATCTACACATGTATTAATGTGCTGTAGATACTGTGCATTTAATTTAGTACTCGTATATTTAAGTACTAAATAAGTGCACAGTAACTGGTGCTAGTGTGCAATAGTGCCAGCACATGTTTTCCATGACAATATTCCATGTTAGTGGAATTCTAGTGCATGTTAGTGTATTAGCACTGTTTGTGCTATGACATACTAATGCACAGTAGTACTGGGCTACTGAGCATTTAGCATCCTGTGTAGACACGCCTACAACAAAAGAGACTTTCGTGGCATCAAGGTATTACAAGGAGTAACAGAAACAATGGACCAGATTCACTGTTGATGTACATGGACAGAACTCCACTGACTACAATAGAATTTTAATAATTTACTTATCTAGGAAATAAAAGTCTAAGAAATCAGTCACAGTTTTCAATAATCTTAACTCGTTCATGAAGTGCAGGCTCCTTGTGATTCATAGATTCATAGATTCATAGATTAAGGGTCGGAAGGGACCTAGTAGATCTTCTAGCCCGACCCCCCGCCAGGGCGGGAGAACAACAAAAAACCCCGAAAAGAGAAACGGGACTCAAACGAGTCCAGCCAGGTAGGCATCCA